TAATGTAAAAAAAAAAAAAAAATCTTGAATCTGAATAAAAAAAAAAAAAAGATATAATTACCAGTTAAAAAAAAAAAAAGAGGAGAGAGGATCAAGAAAAAAAAAAAAAATACAGCAGGCCAGGTTAAAAAAAAAAAAAAGCCTACAGAACAAATAAAAAAAAAAAAAAAACAAATGAATCATGGGAAAAAAAAAAAAACATGTATATGTGTAGGAAAAAAAAAAAAAAGCCATTAATTAAAATAAAAAAAAAAAAAAATAACCTAATGCAATATTAAAAAAAAAAAAACCACGAGGAAACAACACAAAAAAAAAAAAAAGGGTATTAAGGAATCAAAAAAAAAAAAAATAGGTATGATGATAGTAAAAAAAAAAAAAAGAGGTGATGTATCTGTTAAAAAAAAAAAAAGAAGAATTTACAGGTGAAAAAAAAAAAAAACTAGGCTTTGCTTGAAAAAAAAAAAAAAAAAACACCCCCACAAAGAAAAAAAAAAAAAAAAAAAACAGAATGCTGCTAAAAAAAAAAAAAGGGTGATGGATGCACGAAAAAAAAAAAAAATATCTCTACTTTGTCGTAAAAAAAAAAAAATATAAATAAAATTTGAGAAAAAAAAAAAAATCAGATTAACCTAGTCTAAAAAAAAAAAAATGAAAGGGTCTCATGTCAAAAAAAAAAAAATTTTTTCAAAGGCATAGAAAAAAAAAAAAATTAAGAAGTCACTTTAAAAAAAAAAAAAAACTCTGAGCAGGCCCTTTAAAAAAAAAAAAAAATATTGATGAAGTACCAAAAAAAAAAAAAGCACAGCAATAAACAACAAAAAAAAAAAAACACATGAAGGTTTCAAGAAAAAAAAAAAAAAAGGCATCCAGCCTCTTAAAAAAAAAAAAAAATAGGACAAGGAATAGAAAAAAAAAAAAAACAATACACTCATGCAGAAAAAAAAAAAAAACTTTACATGTACAATCAAAAAAAAAAAAAATAACAGCCCTATCAGGAAAAAAAAAAAAAGCAGTACCATCTCCCTTAAAAAAAAAAAAATAAGTGTGTAATTTTAAAAAAAAAAAAAAACAGTTAAGTGACTTACTAAAAAAAAAAAAACTAGTAAGTAGTATAGGAAAAAAAAAAAAATAGGCAATCTGGCTCAAAAAAAAAAAAAAATATACTCTGAGCCACCGAAAAAAAAAAAAAAAGTCATTCTGGCTGAAAAAAAAAAAAAAAAAGTACCAAAAAGATCAAAAAAAAAAAAAAAGGCAAGAGCAAGAGGAAAAAAAAAAAAAAACCAGAAAATGCTGTTCAAAAAAAAAAAAAAGAATGATAGCACTGAAAAAAAAAAAAAAACAGGCAAAGGCCCATCTAAAAAAAAAAAAAAATACTGAGTCAGCAACAAAAAAAAAAAAAGAGCTGGGATCTCCAGGAAAAAAAAAAAAAGCTCTCTGACAACAGCAAAAAAAAAAAAAACGTGGTGCTGGTCAAACAAAAAAAAAAAAAAACACCTCCCAATCCTCAAAAAAAAAAAAACACTGGAGATGCTCACCAAAAAAAAAAAAACCTGATGCAGAGAGGCCAAAAAAAAAAAAATTCCCCATACCTTTAGGAAAAAAAAAAAAACGACTGCCTTCACCAGTAAAAAAAAAAAAACCTTGATAATCCCACATAAAAAAAAAAAAACATGCTCCTATGTCCTCAAAAAAAAAAAAATGGGGCCAACTGATAAGAAAAAAAAAAAAATAGTGGCCCAGAGCTTCAAAAAAAAAAAAAACCTCTGAGGTACTGATAAAAAAAAAAAAAAATGGATTATGATATTCAAAAAAAAAAAAAGGCTCCTCCCTCCCCAAAAAAAAAAAAAAAATCAAAATGGTTGACAAAAAAAAAAAAAAAAAAACTTGACAAAACTCAAAAAAAAAAAAAAGCTAGAGTCATCTTCAAAAAAAAAAAAAAATATGAGTTCAAGCCCAAAAAAAAAAAAAAGGCCTGCAATAACAAAGAAAAAAAAAAAAAACCTGTCTTCTCTCATCAAAAAAAAAAAAAAATCTCAACTGGAGCTCAAAAAAAAAAAAAACTCAGCTGTCCTTCTCAAAAAAAAAAAAACACCCTCCTGTGATCTCAAAAAAAAAAAAATTGGGCCCGGGACTACTAAAAAAAAAAAAAACGGCCTGGCCTCGGTCAAAAAAAAAAAAAGATTTTTAAAAATCTAAAAAAAAAAAAAAAATCTGCTTTCTAGCAGTAAAAAAAAAAAAACTTTGGGATGAGGCTCCAAAAAAAAAAAAATCCACTCTAGGGGACTGAAAAAAAAAAAAAGACTTAGCAAGGAGTTAAAAAAAAAAAAAATTTCTTTCAGTCATTCAAAAAAAAAAAAAAAAGGAGCTGCTGGTGCCAAAAAAAAAAAAAGCAAATGAGTGAAATAAAAAAAAAAAAAAAGGATTTAGAAACAGCTCAAAAAAAAAAAAACAATGCTAAGTACATTTAAAAAAAAAAAAAGCCCAGGCACTGAAGGCAAAAAAAAAAAAAAACACACCACCAATGCCAAAAAAAAAAAAAAGAAGCTGCCTCCTACAAAAAAAAAAAAAACAGCCAAGACACAGAAAAAAAAAAAAAAAAGAAGAAACTAACAATTAAAAAAAAAAAAAACTTACGATATTCATTAAAAAAAAAAAAAAAATGCTGGATATTTAACTAAAAAAAAAAAAATTCCTAACAATTTTCCAAAAAAAAAAAAAACTTTGATGTACCAAATAAAAAAAAAAAAAATAGTACAGTAAACAAAGAAAAAAAAAAAAATTTTCAAAGTAAAATAAAAAAAAAAAAAAATAAATTATAATTTTATTAAAAAAAAAAAAAATAGATGGCTGTCAAATAAAAAAAAAAAAACCCACATTTTACACTCAAAAAAAAAAAAAACTATGATTAGACATAAGAAAAAAAAAAAAATTTGCCTAAAGACAAAAAAAAAAAAAAAAATGACCAATCATGGTACAAAAAAAAAAAAAAAAATCGTTGTTAATAAAAAAAAAAAAAAAAAGTAAAAAACAGTTTGAAAAAAAAAAAAAATGCAAAAAGTTTATCATAAAAAAAAAAAAACTGGCTTTTATCCAGCTAAAAAAAAAAAAAACAGCCTTAAAAAATAAAAAAAAAAAAAAAGAGATAAAAAAAATTAAAAAAAAAAAAAAAGACAGGAGATCTCCTGAAAAAAAAAAAAAACTTTATCTTTTCTGTGTAAAAAAAAAAAAACCACTTCTCAAAGCAAAAAAAAAAAAAAAATACATGGTGGTTTTCCAAAAAAAAAAAAAAAAAGTCTGTCATTGGAGAAAAAAAAAAAAAATAGAACAAAGTCTCTTAAAAAAAAAAAAATCTTATCTCCTTCTCCGAAAAAAAAAAAAATACCAAAAACCAGAATAAAAAAAAAAAAAAGCCAGACATGGTTGTATAAAAAAAAAAAAAAGGACTAACCACAATTTAAAAAAAAAAAAAATGTGCAAGCTCAGTGAAAAAAAAAAAAAAAAGACATTCACAGGACGAAAAAAAAAAAAATCTGGGGCCAGACCTAAAAAAAAAAAAAAACCAGGCTTCCTAAACCTAAAAAAAAAAAAAGGGACGCTCATCGTAATAAAAAAAAAAAAAAGGGCCAGCTAGCTTACAAAAAAAAAAAAATGGAGATACAAACTGCCAAAAAAAAAAAAAGTAACTGTTTTTATAAAAAAAAAAAAAAAAGAAATTATAAGTTGTTTAAAAAAAAAAAAATGGCAAATGGAATCAATAAAAAAAAAAAAAGAATATAAATTATTTTTAAAAAAAAAAAAATGATGATGCAAAGGCCTAAAAAAAAAAAAAAAAAGTACACTTTTAACAAAAAAAAAAAAAAACCTGTATATAATGAGAAAAAAAAAAAAAATATCTATTTTTCCAGGAAAAAAAAAAAAAATTCCCCAGATAGTGACAAAAAAAAAAAAAAACTTCCAACAATAAAGAAAAAAAAAAAAACCAACTGGTGTGTCCATAAAAAAAAAAAAAGGAGATAGTCAAAATATAAAAAAAAAAAAAACCCGTGATGTACGGCTAAAAAAAAAAAAAGATTTGTGTAGTCTGTTAAAAAAAAAAAAAACTGCATGCAATCTTCTAAAAAAAAAAAAATACTAAATCAAGGATATAAAAAAAAAAAAACAAACATATTTGGTCACAAAAAAAAAAAAAAAAATCAAAACAGATGTAAAAAAAAAAAAAGGCTGAACCTCGACTCCAAAAAAAAAAAAATCTGCTGCTCTTGCTCTAAAAAAAAAAAAACATTGTTTGCAGCCTAGAAAAAAAAAAAAATCAGACTACAGAGGGCTAAAAAAAAAAAAATGAAATCTGAATATGCTAAAAAAAAAAAAACCAACTCTCCGGGAGTTAAAAAAAAAAAAATTTTCTCAAGCATTGGCAAAAAAAAAAAAATTTCACTGACCACAGTTAAAAAAAAAAAAATTTCTGTTCTTTTGTTCAAAAAAAAAAAAACAAAGCAATCCCCAGTGAAAAAAAAAAAAATCAAATGCACTTAGTTTAAAAAAAAAAAAATGACGGGGGTTTCATTTAAAAAAAAAAAAACAAACTGCCTAAGTCTTAAAAAAAAAAAAAATACACCAGTACACTGTAAAAAAAAAAAAAGGAATCTCAGGACCCTTAAAAAAAAAAAAATCATCTAACCTCCAGATAAAAAAAAAAAAAAACCTACCCTTTCCTGTAAAAAAAAAAAAAGCCCGCTCAACATTAGCAAAAAAAAAAAAATTGGGTTAGGTGTGTTGAAAAAAAAAAAAATGAGCATGATTAAACCTAAAAAAAAAAAAAGTTTGAACCTTTGCAGAAAAAAAAAAAAAAAGAGAAAAAACTTTCATAAAAAAAAAAAAACACTACACAAGTTTGCTAAAAAAAAAAAAATCTCCTTTACCTTAAACAAAAAAAAAAAAATATTTTTTGCACTGTAGAAAAAAAAAAAAATTCCTATCTCATATCCAAAAAAAAAAAAAACCCGCTCTCTGAGGAGAAAAAAAAAAAAAAGCAGGATGGAAAGCAGAAAAAAAAAAAAAACTCCTCCTGCAATCAACAAAAAAAAAAAAAAGGCATCCGCAGGCTGAAAAAAAAAAAAAAACTCTCCACCCACTCTCAAAAAAAAAAAAAAGTCAAGTGTACACTAAAAAAAAAAAAAAAAGATCTTTTAGTCTTTTAAAAAAAAAAAAATAAACCAAAGGTTCTACAAAAAAAAAAAAAGGTCTATCTCCCCTATTAAAAAAAAAAAAAACTATTTTTATAGCTTGAAAAAAAAAAAAACGAGGCCCTGTGAATTAAAAAAAAAAAAAAATTTTATAGGCCATAGGAAAAAAAAAAAAAATAATCCATAATGAACAAAAAAAAAAAAAATGAGAAAAGGAGATGTGAAAAAAAAAAAAAACCATTTGTTAACCTCTAAAAAAAAAAAAAGGATTGAGGAAAGCAGCAAAAAAAAAAAAAGCAGGGGACAGCTCTGAAAAAAAAAAAAAATTCATCTGAGTTGTGTTAAAAAAAAAAAAACAAAGCTGCGAAACAGGAAAAAAAAAAAAACACTAGACTGCCTACCCAAAAAAAAAAAAAGCTGAAAAGTGTAAGTAAAAAAAAAAAAAATTGATCCTCAGTAAGGCAAAAAAAAAAAAACTCTACAGGCTTAGACCAAAAAAAAAAAAATGTTCAGTGCTGTTCCCAAAAAAAAAAAAAAACAAGAACAGGCAGCCAAAAAAAAAAAAACAGGGAGTATCACATAGAAAAAAAAAAAAAAAAGCACCTACTATTTGAAAAAAAAAAAAATGCCTGAAATACCATCAAAAAAAAAAAAAATGGTTTTCTCAGTGGGGAAAAAAAAAAAAATGATGAACGTGTTTGGGAAAAAAAAAAAAACATTTTTTATTGTCACAAAAAAAAAAAAAATCCAACTGGCATTTAGAAAAAAAAAAAAAAGACGCTAGAGATCCTACAAAAAAAAAAAAATCCCAGAGCTGGCTCCTAAAAAAAAAAAAATCAATTCTACAGGAATTAAAAAAAAAAAAATCTACTGGTAGTTTGAAAAAAAAAAAAAAAGGAGTACTTACAGCACAAAAAAAAAAAAAAGACACAACTCAGAGAAAAAAAAAAAAAAAATTTGTCAGCACACCATTAAAAAAAAAAAAAAAGACTGTCCTGCACAAAAAAAAAAAAAAAGCCCAAAAGACGTTCTTAAAAAAAAAAAAAGGTTTATAATGATCTGAAAAAAAAAAAAAACTCATTTTACAAATAAAAAAAAAAAAAAAAATGTAGACTGCACTTTGAAAAAAAAAAAAATTGACCAAGCATTTCCCAAAAAAAAAAAAACACATTCCAGTTAGTGAAAAAAAAAAAAAACACAACACATCTTTATCAAAAAAAAAAAAAGACAGTGTATTCATGGTAAAAAAAAAAAAAGGAATGGCATCTGATTAAAAAAAAAAAAAATCAAGTTAGATCTGCCTAAAAAAAAAAAAATTAAAATACATATTATTAAAAAAAAAAAAACTTTCGTTTATTTCTCCAAAAAAAAAAAAATAGAGAATCATGTTATTAAAAAAAAAAAAAGGGTACATTACATTAACAAAAAAAAAAAAATCAGGACAGTTCTAGAAAAAAAAAAAAAAACTGACAGAGTTGATAACAAAAAAAAAAAAAAAAAACCACTGATCTAGAAAAAAAAAAAAAATTTTAATCATGGCCCCAAAAAAAAAAAAAAAGTCCCTTAAATTCTAAAAAAAAAAAAAAACTCCTGGAAAATGGGTAAAAAAAAAAAAACTGCCCATCTCACAGGGAAAAAAAAAAAAAGGACTGACTCACAGTAGAAAAAAAAAAAAAGTATCCAGCTCTAAGAAAAAAAAAAAAAAATTGCAGCTGTCACAAAAAAAAAAAAAAAAACGATACCAGCTTCCTGCAAAAAAAAAAAAAAAAAACAGATTCCAGGAAAAAAAAAAAAAACATTAAGAGCGTGGGTTAAAAAAAAAAAAAGTTCCTGGCATAAATCAAAAAAAAAAAAAACCTCCTAAGAAGTAATAAAAAAAAAAAAAATTTTTGAGAACCAGACCAAAAAAAAAAAAACCTTGGCACCTTGCATGAAAAAAAAAAAAAAAGTACTTCTGGACATGAAAAAAAAAAAAACTCTGCAAGTTAAAGATAAAAAAAAAAAAAAGAATATCTAAGAAAAAAAAAAAAAAAAAAAATTCACAAAAACATGTAAAAAAAAAAAAAGAATTGTTAAATGAATGAAAAAAAAAAAAATCGGGGAAAAATGTCTGAAAAAAAAAAAAATAAATATGTGGGAGATTAAAAAAAAAAAAATGATAAGTGGGTTTTCAAAAAAAAAAAAAAAAATTAGCAGCAAGGGAAAAAAAAAAAAAAAATAACTAAAATCTCGGAAAAAAAAAAAAAGCTACCAAAGTGCTTTAAAAAAAAAAAAAAAGTCTCAAAAATAGAATAAAAAAAAAAAAAAGCTCTGCCTAATGATGAAAAAAAAAAAAATCTCCTATATCCTCCTTAAAAAAAAAAAAAGCTTGCCTGTGCAGTTCAAAAAAAAAAAAAAAGAATCAGAGTGAAAGAAAAAAAAAAAAATTTCTCCAATGGCCATCAAAAAAAAAAAAAGTAATGACAACAAAGAAAAAAAAAAAAAAACTGTTTTTAGAAACCAGAAAAAAAAAAAAACTAAAGTTGGCAAGAAAAAAAAAAAAAAAAGAAGATAATACTCAAGAAAAAAAAAAAAAATTGACACAAAATAATCTAAAAAAAAAAAAACTTCTGATTTGGTAGCAAAAAAAAAAAAAAAAAAGCCACTTTTGTCTAAAAAAAAAAAAATAAAAACTGCAAGAGTAAAAAAAAAAAAAAACTCAAAGTACTGTACAAAAAAAAAAAAAAGTGAGTAAAAGGACATTAAAAAAAAAAAAACAGCAATGTATCTAATTAAAAAAAAAAAAATCTACTTGTGAACTAAAAAAAAAAAAAAAAGCAACTGGAGCTAAGCAAAAAAAAAAAAAATAGAACCCTTTACTCTGAAAAAAAAAAAAACCAAAGCAGATAAAATAAAAAAAAAAAAAAATGGCACTTCATTCCATAAAAAAAAAAAAAAGCCTGCTGCCACCCAGAAAAAAAAAAAAATCCATTGTCCACTATAAAAAAAAAAAAAAACAAATCCTCAGGAGGAAAAAAAAAAAAAAAAAACAGTTCCAAGAAAAAAAAAAAAAAAAAAAGGCTGTCTGCAACTCAAAAAAAAAAAAATAGAGCAGGCACTAGAAAAAAAAAAAAAAATCAAGCAATATCACTGTAAAAAAAAAAAAAGCCTGTAAGAATAAGTTAAAAAAAAAAAAAGCCAATGAGGCATGAAAAAAAAAAAAAAAATGTGGACCGGGACCAGGAAAAAAAAAAAAAGAAGCTAAGGATAACAGAAAAAAAAAAAAAATGTTCATGGCACTAGGAAAAAAAAAAAAAATGCTTATTTCAACTCTAAAAAAAAAAAAAGTGGACACCTCGTTGCTAAAAAAAAAAAAACATATTTTAGCACCTCTAAAAAAAAAAAAAAGCCAGTAATGAATGGAAAAAAAAAAAAAAATCCAAAAAGGAATGAGAAAAAAAAAAAAACACTGACAGAGACTCAGAAAAAAAAAAAAAAAAAATATGACAGGTTAAAAAAAAAAAAAAAATGCCTACACAGGCATAAAAAAAAAAAAATGGACAGACATAACTTGAAAAAAAAAAAAAAAGAATATATTGTGTTGAAAAAAAAAAAAATTTAAAAATTATTTTTAAAAAAAAAAAAAAAGAAATCTTTTTCTTTTAAAAAAAAAAAAAATAAATTTTAACACACAAAAAAAAAAAAAAAACAACCATCAAAATCAAAAAAAAAAAAAATTCCATCACCCCCTGAAAAAAAAAAAAAAATGCTATAGATCCTACTTAAAAAAAAAAAAAAACCCCAGTCAACCACTAAAAAAAAAAAAATCATTATATCTATGTCTAAAAAAAAAAAAAAAAAATGGGATTTTACAAAAAAAAAAAAAATGGGACTGTCTCCTTGCAAAAAAAAAAAAACCTCTGAGATTCGCCCAAAAAAAAAAAAAAATCAATAATTCATCTCTAAAAAAAAAAAAACACAGGTTATCCATTCAAAAAAAAAAAAAAATTTGGGTTGTTTCTAAAAAAAAAAAAAAATTATGAGTAGAACTGCTAAAAAAAAAAAAATTATGCTTTTATATAAAAAAAAAAAAAAAATCTCTAAGACACTCAGAAAAAAAAAAAAAAGATCATATGTTAAGTGTAAAAAAAAAAAAATACAAAACTTAAAATGTAAAAAAAAAAAAATGCACTATTTTGTATTCAAAAAAAAAAAAAAAGCAATATATGAGAGTAAAAAAAAAAAAACATCCTTGCCAGTACTTAAAAAAAAAAAAATTTTTAATTTTAGACACAAAAAAAAAAAAATAGTGGTATCCCACCACAAAAAAAAAAAAATTACATTTCCCTCAGGGAAAAAAAAAAAAAAATACCTTTCATTGCTTAAAAAAAAAAAAAATATCCTTTTTTAGTGAAAAAAAAAAAAAATCCTTTGTCCATTTAAAAAAAAAAAAAAAATTGTTTTCTTTTTGTTGAAAAAAAAAAAAACTTTATATATTCTAAATAAAAAAAAAAAAATAGATATCTGATTTGTAAAAAAAAAAAAAAAGTCTGTAGCTTGGTTTAAAAAAAAAAAAAATGCCTTTTGTAGAAAAAAAAAAAAAAAAAACCATGTCCTATCATCAAAAAAAAAAAAAATGGATCTTGCTTTTGGTAAAAAAAAAAAAAATTTTATCTACTCTCAAAAAAAAAAAAAAACCTGTTTTCTTCCAGAAAAAAAAAAAAAAAATGTTTTACATTTAGATAAAAAAAAAAAAATGAGTTAATTTCGAATAAAAAAAAAAAAAATTACGTTTAGGTTGAAGAAAAAAAAAAAAATCTAGATGCAAAATTGTAAAAAAAAAAAAAGTTGAAAAGGTTATCCTAAAAAAAAAAAAATTTTCCACTGAATCTAGAAAAAAAAAAAAAAATTAAGTGACCATATAAAAAAAAAAAAAACTGAACTCTTTATTTTGAAAAAAAAAAAAATGTGTCTCTCCTTTCACAAAAAAAAAAAAATTTTGAATGCTGTAGCTAAAAAAAAAAAAAATTTGATTAATGTGATTAAAAAAAAAAAAATCTTCTTTTTCAAAATCAAAAAAAAAAAAATAGCTCCTTTTTCATTCAAAAAAAAAAAAAAAATCACTTTGTCCATAAAAAAAAAAAAAACTGTTGAGATTCTGATTAAAAAAAAAAAAAATCTATAAATCAATTTAAAAAAAAAAAAAATCTTTACTATGTTGAGTAAAAAAAAAAAAAAACACAGTACATCTCTCAAAAAAAAAAAAACTTCTTTGATTTCTTTCAAAAAAAAAAAAAGAACTGAGCTTTTTTTTAAAAAAAAAAAAAGAGGGTCCCATATTGGGAAAAAAAAAAAAAAGCATCCTAAGCTAGCTAAAAAAAAAAAAACAAAAGCTCTCTTCAGCAAAAAAAAAAAAAATTAGTTCCTACAAACAAAAAAAAAAAAAATGATTCTTTGCATGCTTAAAAAAAAAAAAAAACCTTGCTGCGTCTGGAAAAAAAAAAAAAAGCCACAAAACTCAACTAAAAAAAAAAAAACTCTTTCGCAGACAAGAAAAAAAAAAAAAACCCCACTCCCTCATGTAAAAAAAAAAAAAATCTGTGAAATTTGCTATAAAAAAAAAAAAACCTCTACTTATTTCCATAAAAAAAAAAAAAAAACCCCAAAATTCTCTAAAAAAAAAAAAAATATACTAGAGTGTGTTAAAAAAAAAAAAAGAAAATAGAGTTTTTGTAAAAAAAAAAAAATGTTGATTCTCAATGATAAAAAAAAAAAAAGAAAATGCTGTTTTTGAAAAAAAAAAAAAACTGCTATGTGTTTTTGGAAAAAAAAAAAAAAAAATGCCTGGGATGGGAAAAAAAAAAAAAGTAAATACAGAAGACACAAAAAAAAAAAAAAGGAAGTGAAAGGAAAAAAAAAAAAAAAAAAAAAAGTGAAAAGGATAAAAAAAAAAAAAACTAAGACAACAAGTAACAAAAAAAAAAAAAGCTCATTCTTTGTTATCAAAAAAAAAAAAAGTAATGACAGGCAGCTTAAAAAAAAAAAAATTGAGCCCTGTGGTGAAAAAAAAAAAAAAAAGAGCAGTCAAATTGGAAAAAAAAAAAAAATCCCAAGTGAAGAGCTTAAAAAAAAAAAAAACGGAGAGGCAATGGCAAAAAAAAAAAAAATGTGCTCACCTCTGGGAAAAAAAAAAAAAATGTAATCAGATAGTTTCAAAAAAAAAAAAAACAGAATAATTTAATTCAAAAAAAAAAAAATGGTTAAGACAAAATAAAAAAAAAAAAAAATTTACCATTTATATGACAAAAAAAAAAAAATTTTTAGAACTTGTCTAAAAAAAAAAAAAATTTAATTCTAAAGCAGTAAAAAAAAAAAAACCATTTGGTGACCCAGAAAAAAAAAAAAAATCCCAAAGTCTCTGATTAAAAAAAAAAAAATCAAAATTTCTTTGACCAAAAAAAAAAAAACTTTGTGGGCATGTACCAAAAAAAAAAAAACCAGGTTTCTTAGGTGAAAAAAAAAAAAAAAACACAAATTTTGTGGGAAAAAAAAAAAAACAGATCATCGAGTTTAAAAAAAAAAAAAAATTACCGTATTGTGAACCAAAAAAAAAAAAAGGTGGTTTGTATATTTCAAAAAAAAAAAAATCATTCTCTCTTGTTCTAAAAAAAAAAAAATGGAGCATATTGAAAACAAAAAAAAAAAAAAGACTCCTGGAATAAAAAAAAAAAAAAAAAAAGGAAAGCCAAATAAAAAAAAAAAAAAAAAGCCATTTTAAAAATTGAAAAAAAAAAAAAAATTGATAAACCTTTAAAAAAAAAAAAAAAAATTACTAAAATCAAGAAAAAAAAAAAAAACATCATCACAAAGGCTTAAAAAAAAAAAAAGAATTATAAAGGAATTCAAAAAAAAAAAAAATGCCAAAAAATTAGCTAAAAAAAAAAAAATGCACAAATTCCTAAAAAAAAAAAAAAAAACAAATTTGACTCAAGAAAAAAAAAAAAAAAAGCAGACCCCTAACAAGAAAAAAAAAAAAATTAATAATTTTTAAAACAAAAAAAAAAAAAAAGCTCAGGCTCAGGCCAAAAAAAAAAAAACACGCCTGTAATCCCAGAAAAAAAAAAAAACAAAGTAGGTGGATCCCAAAAAAAAAAAAATTTGAGACCAGCCTGACAAAAAAAAAAAAACCCCATCTCTACTAAAAAAAAAAAAAAAAATTAGCCAGGCATAGGGGAAAAAAAAAAAAATCCCAGCTACTTGGGAAAAAAAAAAAAAAAAATCACTTGAACCTGGGAAAAAAAAAAAAAGAGCCGAGATTGTGCCAAAAAAAAAAAAAATGAGCAACAAGAGCGAAAAAAAAAAAAAAAAAAAAAAAAAAAAAGAAAAAAAAAAAAAAAGATGGCATCCTGGTAAGAAAAAAAAAAAAATTAAAAATTAATACTAAAAAAAAAAAAAAAATTCCAAAAACAGAAGAAAAAAAAAAAAAACTCATTTTATGAGGCCAAAAAAAAAAAAAAACCAAAGCCAGACAAAGAAAAAAAAAAAAAACTACAGACCAGTATCCAAAAAAAAAAAAAGTACAAAAATTCCAGGAAAAAAAAAAAAAATTAACATTTGAAAATAAAAAAAAAAAAAAAACCACTCAGTAGAATAAAAAAAAAAAAAAACATGATCATCTCAGTAGAAAAAAAAAAAAACATCTGACAGAATCCAAAAAAAAAAAAAAACAAAAATACTCAACAAAAAAAAAAAAAAAAGGAACTTTCTCAACCTGAAAAAAAAAAAAAACAAAAGACCCATAGCTAAAAAAAAAAAAAACGGTGAAACGCTGAAAAAAAAAAAAAAAAGAGAAACAAGATAAGGAAAAAAAAAAAAAACCACTCCAACTCAACATAAAAAAAAAAAAACTAGCCAAGGTGAGTAAAAAAAAAAAAAAAATAAAAGGTATTCAGAAAAAAAAAAAAAAAACTTACTGGTGAAAGGCAAAAAAAAAAAAACAAGAAAAACAAGATAAAAAAAAAAAAAAATACCACTCCAACTCAACAAAAAAAAAAAAATTCTAGCCAAAGTAAGTAAAAAAAAAAAAAAAATAAAAGCCATTCAGAAAAAAAAAAAAAAAGCTGCAGATGGTATGAAAAAAAAAAAAAAAAATACTAATGTATTCAAAAAAAAAAAAATAGAACTAATAAATTCAAAAAAAAAAAAAAGATACAAGATCAACAGAAAAAAAAAAAAAATATCTCTATACACTAGCAAAAAAAAAAAAAAATGTGAAATTTAGAAAAAAAAAAAAAAAAATAATAGCATAAAAAAGAAAAAAAAAAAAAGGAATAAATTTAACAAAAAAAAAAAAAAAATTACACAATAAAAACTAAAAAAAAAAAAAAGAAAAAAATTAAAGATCAAAAAAAAAAAAAGCATATCCCATGTTCATAAAAAAAAAAAAATAATATTGCTAAGATGGAAAAAAAAAAAAAATTGATCCACAGATTCAAAAAAAAAAAAAATAAAACCCCAGGTGATTAAAAAAAAAAAAATGACAAGTTGATCATAAAAAAAAAAAAAAAATTTTAGGAACCCATAAAAAAAAAAAAAAACTTGAAAAAGAAGTTTAAAAAAAAAAAAAACACACGTCCTGATTTCAAAAAAAAAAAAAACTGCAGTAATGAAGACAAAAAAAAAAAAAAATAAGGATAGACATGGAAAAAAAAAAAAAAGAACGGAATGTCCAGAAAAAAAAAAAAAAATTCATGGTGAATTGATTAAAAAAAAAAAAACCAAAGCAATTTAATGGAAAAAAAAAAAAATACTCAACAGTGGCACTAAAAAAAAAAAAAAACCACATACAAAGAATAAAAAAAAAAAAATATCTCACACCATATACAAAAAAAAAAAAAAAATAGAGTAGAAACTTAAAAAAAAAAAAAAAAATAATAAACTCTTAAAAAAAAAAAAAAGAGTAAAACTTCATGGCAAAAAAAAAAAAAATATGACCCCAAACCAAAAAAAAAAAAAAAAAAATAGAGAAACAGATAAAAAAAAAAAAAAACACTCTGTGCTACAAAAAAAAAAAAAAAGAAAGTCAGGGCCGGGCAAAAAAAAAAAAACCTATACAAATCCCAGCAAAAAAAAAAAAAGAGGTGGGCGGATCACCAAAAAAAAAAAAATTGAGACCAGCTTGGCCAAAAAAAAAAAAACCCATATCTACTAAAAAAAAAAAAAAAAAATGGGCATGGTGGCACACAAAAAAAAAAAAACAGCTACTTGGGAGGCTAAAAAAAAAAAAACACTTGAACCTGGGAGGAAAAAAAAAAAAAGAACTGAGATCACGCCAAAAAAAAAAAAAATGGGTGACAGAGTGAGAAAAAAAAAAAAAAAAAAAAAAAAGAGAGAGAAAAAAAAAAAAAAAGACAATCTACATAATAAAAAAAAAAAAATTTAAATAGTGTATCTAAAAAAAAAAAAAAAGTTGTATTCAGATTATAAAAAAAAAAAAAACAACTCAGTAATAAAGAAAAAAAAAAAAAAAAAATGGGCAAAATACAAAAAAAAAAAAATCAAAGAAGATATATAAAAAAAAAAAAAAAACATCAAGAGATGTTCAAAAAAAAAAAAAATTAGCGCAATGTAAGTCAAAAAAAAAAAAAGCTGCCACTTCACACCCAAAAAAAAAAAAATAATCAAAGAGACAAACAAAAAAAAAAAAATCTGGAGAAATGGGAACAAAAAAAAAAAAATGGTGGGAATGTAAAATAAAAAAAAAAAAATAGAAAACAATTTAGTAAAAAAAAAAAAAATTAACCACAGTTAGCATAAAAAAAAAAAAATCCACGCCTAGGTTTAGAAAAAAAAAAAAAGAACCTATATATCCACTAAAAAAAAAAAAAATGAATGTTCATGGCAGAAAAAAAAAAAAAAGCCCCAAAGTGGAAACAAAAAAAAAAAAAATCAGCTGATGAAGATAAAAAAAAAAAAAAGCATATTCATACAATGGAAAAAAAAAAAAATATAGGCTACAACACAGAAAAAAAAAAAAATCATGTTAAGTGAAAGAAAAAAAAAAAAAAAAGACCACACGCTGTACAAAAAAAAAAAAATGGTATAAAATGTCCATAAAAAAAAAAAAAACAGAGACAAAATAGATAAAAAAAAAAAAAAGCCAGGCAGGAGGATGAAAAAAAAAAAAAAATCATTACAGAGTTTCAAAAAAAAAAAAAATGTTCTAAACGTGATTAAAAAAAAAAAAACACACTCTGTTAATATAAAAAAAAAAAAAAATTGTACACTTTAAATGAAAAAAAAAAAAATGAATATATCTCAACATAAAAAAAAAAAAAAGTTTTAAAAAGTATGAAAAAAAAAAAAAAAAAAGCAACAAAAACTCAAAAAAAAAAAAATGACAGAATTAATAGGCAAAAAAAAAAAAAGAGTTACACAAGTCTTAAAAAAAAAAAAAATTCTTCTAACCACATCCAAAAAAAAAAAAATCCTGGGTTTCAAGCTTAAAAAAAAAAAAAGCCACAGAAACCCTTTTAAAAAAAAAAAAATAGGAAATGCAATAAACAAAAAAAAAAAAAAAGAAATATGTATTGGAAAAAAAAAAAAAAAAAAATTCTCATCCCCAAAAAAAAAAAAAATAAACATTCAATCTAGGAAAAAAAAAAAAATCGCAACAGCAAAAAGTAAAAAAAAAAAAAAGTTGCTTACCTACATAAAAAAAAAAAAAAAAAGCACAAGCTGTTCTAAAAAAAAAAAAATGACCTTAAAAAAATATAAAAAAAAAAAAAATGGCCTTACATTTCCAAAAAAAAAAAAAAAGTCTTTAAAAATCAGTAAAAAAAAAAAAATGCTCCAGAAAACGTCTAAAAAAAAAAAAAACCTATTTTCACTTGACAAAAAAAAAAAAATACTTTAACTTTCTTTTAAAAAAAAAAAAAATAAAAATTTAAAAGACAAAAAAAAAAAAATGTTAACACAGTTGCTAAAAAAAAAAAAAAAGGAGGTATACAAAAATAAAAAAAAAAAAAATGTTTAAAAAATAAACAAAAAAAAAAAAAACTTTTGCTGCTGCTTCAAAAAAAAAAAAACAGTGCCCTCTGCTGCTAAAAAAAAAAAAAGACCATTCTCTCAGTTGAAAAAAAAAAAAATCTCTTCTCTAGTAACTAAAAAAAAAAAAATTTGGGAAAAAAAGGACAAAAAAAAAAAAAAATACAGAATTTACGTTAAAAAAAAAAAAAACCCGAATGGATTTAAGAAAAAAAAAAAAATACATATTTCATAAAACAAAAAAAAAAAAAAGAATTAAACTTTAAACAAAAAAAAAAAAAAATGTCCTTTGCAGGATAAAAAAAAAAAAAGCCACGAGTTAAAGCCCAAAAAAAAAAAAAAATGAGTGAGTGTACGCAAAAAAAAAAAAAGTGCGCAGTGAAGCAGTAAAAAAAAAAAAACAACCATGACACACCAGAAAAAAAAAAAAAGTGCACAAAGGCAGCCCAAAAAAAAAAAAAACAGCAGCTATACTACGAAAAAAAAAAAAACTTTAGTCCTTTCCTGCAAAAAAAAAAAAACCTCACTCATTCACCTAAAAAAAAAAAAAACACCTGTCTACCATATAAAAAAAAAAAAAAACTGGCTAGAGGTACAAAAAAAAAAAAAAATCTTAGTTCCTGCCCTCAAAAAAAAAAAAATAAGAGGAGGAAAATTAAAAAAAAAAAAAAATTAAATGGGCAATGATAAAAAAAAAAAAACGTAGCGGGGCAATGCAAAAAAAAAAAAAATCAATTCCACCAGGAGTAAAAAAAAAAAAAAAGACTTCACAGAAGAGAAAAAAAAAAAAAAGTCTTAAAAGACACACAAAAAAAAAAAAATAAGCAATGGGAGAGGAAAAAAAAAAAAAAAAGATGCCAAGGAATACAAAAAAAAAAAAAGTGTAGTCCTGTGAGAAAAAAAAAAAAAAAACACGGTCGTGTAGGCTAAAAAAAAAAAAACTATCTACAGTGTGGCAAAAAAAAAAAAAAGTAGGGGTAAAGTCGTAAAAAAAAAAAAAAGCTCCTCTAATGTTTCTAAAAAAAAAAAAATTTCTCTCGGTAGGGCTAAAAAAAAAAAAATAGCATCTAAACTTATGAAAAAAAAAAAAAAGTCAGACACACTAAGAAAAAAAAAAAAAACCACTCTGTGAAAATGCAAAAAAAAAAAAACCCCTCAGGAGGCATGCAAAAAAAAAAAAAGTGTGGAATGAGTACTGAAAAAAAAAAAAATGATGACATCGTGGTGAAAAAAAAAAAAAACTGCCTGACCTGCCACTAAAAAAAAAAAAAGCTTCACTGCAGGGAAAAAAAAAAAAAAAATAAGAACTGGAATCTGTAAAAAAAAAAAAATCAGCACATAAGATCTAAAAAAAAAAAAAAAATACTTATTAGCAATAAAAAAAAAAAAAATCAAACAAATAAAGTTAAAAAAAAAAAAAATGCTAAACACTTTAATTAAAAAAAAAAAAAGGAATACTACTGTTTCCAAAAAAAAAAAAAGAGAACCGAAGCCCAGAAAAAAAAAAAAAATGACCACATCACAGAGCAAAAAAAAAAAAAGCAAGCATGTGAGCTGAAAAAAAAAAAAAACACTAAGCGACAATACAAAAAAAAAAAAAATAGCATAACCAATGCCGAAAAAAAAAAAAAAGCACCACAGCCAAATGAAAAAAAAAAAAATCAGGGCAGCTGCACGCAAAAAAAAAAAAAGTGGTGGCATGCTCCAGAAAAAAAAAAAAATGCCAATCTTTCCATCCAAAAAAAAAAAAATCCTGGTCAAGGGCAGGAAAAAAAAAAAAACTAGCAAGTGGTAGGCCAAAAAAAAAAAAAAACCAAGAAGTTCAACCAAAAAAAAAAAAAAAATGTTTTGAGGTGGTAAAAAAAAAAAAATTTCTCTCAGAATTGGAAAAAAAAAAAAAATGGAACTGGTTTCTAGCAAAAAAAAAAAAACCTCTCTGCAAGGCCCAAAAAAAAAAAAAAGTAGTGCAAAAAGAGCCAAAAAAAAAAAAAATCTGATCTATGCCGAAAAAAAAAAAAAAAGGATCTGTGGCCAAAGCAAAAAAAAAAAAAAGACAACATTCATTTATAAAAAAAAAAAAATCGAACCTCATTCTCAGAAAAAAAAAAAAATCAGAGGAAGCCACCAGAAAAAAAAAAAAAGATGTGGAATCATGGCCAAAAAAAAAAAAACAAAGATAAGCCCGACAAAAAAAAAAAAAATGATTTCTAGCAGCTCTAAAAAAAAAAAAACCTAACTACGGAAACTGAAAAAAAAAAAAATGCTCACTCCCTCTCCCAAAAAAAAAAAAACTTCTCCAAAGTGCCACAAAAAAAAAAAAACCAAGCTGATGGTCTGAAAAAAAAAAAAAAACAAAGCCATCCAAGTAAAAAAAAAAAAAAGACAGACACATCCAACCAAAAAAAAAAAAACATTCTGTAACCATAAGAAAAAAAAAAAAAAGGAACTCAAAACCCCTAAAAAAAAAAAAAAATGGTAAGGGTACAATAAAAAAAAAAAAAAGGGCCCAGGGGCCTGGAAAAAAAAAAAAAGAACACCTGGGAGGGAAAAAAAAAAAAAAACCAGACAGTGATCCTTAAAAAAAAAAAAAAACCTCCTAAGAAGTCTGAAAAAAAAAAAAAAAAACCAGGCCTAAATTAAAAAAAAAAAAAAAATCCATTAATTGGGAAAAAAAAAAAAAACCAACCCCAAATCATTTAAAAAAAAAAAAAACAGTAGGACTCTGTTTAAAAAAAAAAAAATAGGGAATGAGGACATTAAAAAAAAAAAAAACTGAGGTTAGCAAGTGAAAAAAAAAAAAAGGCACACCACAGTGGCAAAAAAAAAAAAAATGCACAGGCTTTTCCTAAAAAAAAAAAAAAGTCTGAGTCTTGGCAGGAAAAAAAAAAAAAAGCAGAGAAACAGTGCTAAAAAAAAAAAAAAAACACTTCCACAGAAAAAAAAAAAAAAAAACCAGATCATTACAATTAAAAAAAAAAAAATTCAATATAATGACTGCAAAAAAAAAAAAAAAGGGTAAATATGTTGCAAAAAAAAAAAAACGGGCAAAATGCATTTAAAAAAAAAAAAAAAACATGTGCAAAGATTGAAAAAAAAAAAAACACAAACCCAAATTATTAAAAAAAAAAAAATGTTTTCTAGTTCTAAAAAAAAAAAAAAAATATTAACACACAAGACTAAAAAAAAAAAAAATTATCACACTTGCTATAAAAAAAAAAAAACCTTCTAACAAAACCACAAAAAAAAAAAAACTGCCAAAATTAGTCAAAAAAAAAAAAAAAAACACTATCAAGACTGAAAAAAAAAAAAAACATTTAGAAATGAATGCAAAAAAAAAAAAAAGGACACACACACCCCAAAAAAAAAAAAAAAGAGAAATTCAAGTTGCAAAAAAAAAAAAAGAACTTGAATTGAAGCTAAAAAAAAAAAAATTCGGAGGAAAAGGGAGAAAAAAAAAAAAATACCCAGGCAGCATGCTAAAAAAAAAAAAATCAAATGGGACAGACTTAAAAAAAAAAAAAGGGTTCTGGGGAGCTGGAAAAAAAAAAAAAATCCGAATAACAAATTAAAAAAAAAAAAAAAATTCAACCCAGATAAGAAAAAAAAAAAAAAATAATTCAGTCAAGAGAAAAAAAAAAAAAGTGTTCCTCTTCTCTTCAAAAAAAAAAAAATACTCTGCATTGGACACAAAAAAAAAAAAATTTTAAAAACCTATGAAAAAAAAAAAAAAAGTAACTCAAGGAGATTAAAAAAAAAAAAAACAATCTGTTAGCAGCCAAAAAAAAAAAAAATCAATTATCAGAGCTGTAAAAAAAAAAAAACAGAACTAGCTTTATTTAAAAAAAAAAAAATCAAGACAGCAATTTTCAAAAAAAAAAAAAGGAGCCACGGGCTCAAAAAAAAAAAAAAAACTGAGGCCAGGAAAGGAAAAAAAAAAAAAATGCCACCAAAGACTCACAAAAAAAAAAAAAGATTTAGAACTCCTCTTAAAAAAAAAAAAAGCTAGCTAAAGTCTTTTAAAAAAAAAAAAATAATCCCTTCTATCTGAAAAAAAAAAAAAAAACATACACACTTGGAAAAAAAAAAAAAAACTTACCACTGGCCAGCTAAAAAAAAAAAAACTTGATCAGCAACAAGCAAAAAAAAAAAAATCACTGACGGTGACTCAAAAAAAAAAAAAAACACCTTAGCTGCTGACAAAAAAAAAAAAAAAAAGATGAACTGTGGCAAAAAAAAAAAAATACACAGCACAAGGGACAAAAAAAAAAAAACTGGGAACTAAGGTTTTAAAAAAAAAAAAACTACGAAGATGTAGTTTAAAAAAAAAAAAAAACAAGGTAAAACACACAAAAAAAAAAAAAAGCCTACCACCTTGTGAAAAAAAAAAAAAAAACTTCTTTTTGAGAGAAAAAAAAAAAAAATAATTTCATCCTGCATTAAAAAAAAAAAAATTCAAGGGATCACTTAGAAAAAAAAAAAAAGATGGGTATCCACAATGAAAAAAAAAAAAAGCTAGGCGCTCTGGGAAAAAAAAAAAAAAAGGGAACTCTGTAAACAAAAAAAAAAAAAAACAGGGAGCTGCCATTAAAAAAAAAAAAAAAATTAGGCAAAGTGAGGCAAAAAAAAAAAAATGGGTGTGTAAGGAGCCAAAAAAAAAAAAATTTCAGAAATCAAAAGCAAAAAAAAAAAAACTTTAACAATTTCACAGAAAAAAAAAAAAACTGTTGAGTCTAGTAATAAAAAAAAAAAAAGGTTTGCACTCTTCATGAAAAAAAAAAAAATTAATTTTCCAATTCATAAAAAAAAAAAAAATGTTTTATAAAATGGAAAAAAAAAAAAAACTTAACAACAAAAAGAGAAAAAAAAAAAAAATAACTTGAGAAGCACTAAAAAAAAAAAAAGTATCTGATTTCTGGAAAAAAAAAAAAAAATAGGTCTGACTCGGGAGAAAAAAAAAAAAATGCCATTCATGGCTCAAAAAAAAAAAAAAACAAAATGTCTCTATTTCAAAAAAAAAAAAATCTGCTTTGTGTTTCTTAAAAAAAAAAAAATGGGACATCTTCACAAGAAAAAAAAAAAAACAACATGACTCTTTCCTAAAAAAAAAAAAACTGTTCATCTCCACTTGAAAAAAAAAAAAAGGAACTAACCAAAATATAAAAAAAAAAAAAGAAAGTGTGACCTTCACAAAAAAAAAAAAAGGTGCTTTGGAAGTCTGAAAAAAAAAAAAAATGTCCCATCCTAACGCAAAAAAAAAAAAACCCTCTACTCTAATAGGAAAAAAAAAAAAAATCAAACTATTAGTGGAAAAAAAAAAAAAAAATCCTCTGGATAATTCAAAAAAAAAAAAATGGTCTCTCTCACCACCAAAAAAAAAAAAATAGTATTATCTACCTTTAAAAAAAAAAAAAAAAAATCCCTAACCTTTAAAAAAAAAAAAATTTGCCAACCCTCTCTTAAAAAAAAAAAAAAACTCAAGTGGGGTAATAAAAAAAAAAAAACCCTCTACCTGCACTCTAAAAAAAAAAAAAGCCTACTCTCTCGGAAAAAAAAAAAAAAAAGCAGCCACCAGCCCTTTAAAAAAAAAAAAATTTTCCTCCCTTCAGTAAAAAAAAAAAAAATCAAAGATTACATCTAAAAAAAAAAAAAAATCAAAGAAATTCAGCAAAAAAAAAAAAAAAGCAGCAGAATATGGCTGAAAAAAAAAAAAACTCTGCAGCTGGACTGCAAAAAAAAAAAAACTGGCTCTACTGCTTACAAAAAAAAAAAAACTGGGCAAGTTACCTAGAAAAAAAAAAAAATAAAATGAGAACAATAGAAAAAAAAAAAAATAGGGTTGCTGGGAGGAAAAAAAAAAAAAATACTGATGAAAGTACTTAAAAAAAAAAAAACCCACAGAACTCATTAAAAAAAAAAAAAAATGTACAGTCATGTGCTGAAAAAAAAAAAAATGGCCAACGACAAAGCAAAAAAAAAAAAAAGATCCCATAATACCAGAAAAAAAAAAAAAATCTATGTTTAGACACACAAAAAAAAAAAAATTACAAACGCCTGAAATAAAAAAAAAAAAAACATGCTTACAGGTTTGAAAAAAAAAAAAAATAGGCTATACCATGTAAAAAAAAAAAAAAGTAGGCTATCCCCTCTAAAAAAAAAAAAAAACACTCTATGATGTCTGAAAAAAAAAAAAAACCTAATGACACATTTAAAAAAAAAAAAAAGTCAGTAGGCAACACATAAAAAAAAAAAAATGTCTTAAATTAGTATTAAAAAAAAAAAAATATTACATTTTATTCATAAAAAAAAAAAAATGCCACCATACCAATGCAAAAAAAAAAAAACCTTAAAGATTGAGCACAAAAAAAAAAAAACAGAGAGACTGCTCACAAAAAAAAAAAAAAACTGCGGTGTGGTGGGCAAAAAAAAAAAAATACCAGTGCAAACTCAAAAAAAAAAAAAAATTGAATGTATTTTAGAAAAAAAAAAAAAAATCCCTTCCTCTACTGAGAAAAAAAAAAAAACTTTAGCCCACAGAATCAAAAAAAAAAAAAGATGCTCTCCTTAACCAAAAAAAAAAAAAATTCTGCGCTCCTGCAACAAAAAAAAAAAAAGTTGGTCAGGGTGTTTCAAAAAAAAAAAAATCAATGTCCAGTCTCAGAAAAAAAAAAAAATGACCTCTCTGAATTTGAAAAAAAAAAAAATGACTCATTCTCCTTGTAAAAAAAAAAAAATACTGAACTTTCCAGGTAAAAAAAAAAAAACACTGACCTGGTCTTTCAAAAAAAAAAAAACTTCTCTCACTTCTTCCAAAAAAAAAAAAACTAAACTGCCTCACTCCAAAAAAAAAAAAAACTCCAGGTTGAGGCCCAAAAAAAAAAAAAGACTACTAATCTCCTCCAAAAAAAAAAAAACAACTCGTCATTACTTTAAAAAAAAAAAAAAGCTGACATCAACACTTAAAAAAAAAAAAAACAGCCAATGCCTGAGGAAAAAAAAAAAAACGTATATACCAGATGCTAAAAAAAAAAAAATATGTGCATTCATTCACAAAAAAAAAAAAAATAATCATATTATATCCAAAAAAAAAAAAATGTTATTCTATATCTTGAAAAAAAAAAAAATGAAAGATTCAGTAACTAAAAAAAAAAAAAGTAGCTAGAAATTGCCAAAAAAAAAAAAAAATCCAGGTTAGCTTGACAAAAAAAAAAAAATCTGATGGTTCTGCTCCAAAAAAAAAAAAATTTAGGCCATACAACGAAAAAAAAAAAAAACATTCCTTCCATGAACCAAAAAAAAAAAAAGTGCCTAAAACTGGGGAAAAAAAAAAAAAAAGAGAGAGAGAAGGCTGAAAAAAAAAAAAAAGGGCCTTGCAAAATCAAAAAAAAAAAAAAACCAGGTATTCAATTCTAAAAAAAAAAAAAACTCAACACAGTCAATTAAAAAAAAAAAAAACATAAACACACACAAAAAAAAAAAAAAAATGGTATACTGTCCCGAAAAAAAAAAAAAAACATAAATTTAGCTCATGAAAAAAAAAAAAATTGCCTACCTGCCATCAAAAAAAAAAAAAAATTTCTTTCTTCTCACTAAAAAAAAAAAAATGGTCTCCTTCTTCTGTAAAAAAAAAAAAACAACAAGCAAATATTCCAAAAAAAAAAAAATCACTGAGTTACTCTCCAAAAAAAAAAAAATAAAGGGCTCTCTACCAAAAAAAAAAAAAAAAAAAAGCTAAAAGTCTAAAAAAAAAAAAACCAACTTGGGACTCCTCAAAAAAAAAAAAACTTGTGGTTTTTCAGCCAAAAAAAAAAAAATGCTGGTCCTCAAAGGTAAAAAAAAAAAAATCTTCCCCAAAACCCTAAAAAAAAAAAAAAGCATGCGCCAAGCTCTCAAAAAAAAAAAAATTCTGCTCACCCTTCTAAAAAAAAAAAAAATAATATTCCCTTGCCTGAAAAAAAAAAAAATCTCTTCATACTCTCAAAAAAAAAAAAAAAATGTTTTTGCCTTTCTGAAAAAAAAAAAAACATATTAGTCAACTCCCAAAAAAAAAAAAAGGGCCCAACACACAGTAAAAAAAAAAAAAAATCTGCAGAATGAATAAAAAAAAAAAAAAAAAGTCACTTAAAATTGTAAAAAAAAAAAAAGATTGGTAGGAATTCAGAAAAAAAAAAAAATTTTTTTTTTTTAAGCTAAAAAAAAAAAAAAAGAGAACACTACAGAAAAAAAAAAAAAAAGTTTAAAAGTATGGGAGAAAAAAAAAAAAACAGAGCTTTCTTTAGTAAAAAAAAAAAAAACCTCTGTTTGCCACACAAAAAAAAAAAAAAATCTTGTTACAAAGACAAAAAAAAAAAAAAATCAGAGGTCTCTATTAAAAAAAAAAAAAACTTTTCTTACATCTACAAAAAAAAAAAAAAAGGCCGAGGCAGGTGGAAAAAAAAAAAAAAGGAGTTTGAGACCAGCCAAAAAAAAAAAAAAACCTACATCTCTACAGAAAAAAAAAAAAAAAAAAGAATTAGCTAGGAAAAAAAAAAAAACTGTAGTACCAGCAACTAAAAAAAAAAAAATGGGAGGATCACTTGAGAAAAAAAAAAAAAACTGCAGTGAGCCAAGTAAAAAAAAAAAAAAAAAAAACAACAAAAAAAAAAAAAAAAAAAAGAAAGAAAGAAAGAAGAAAAAAAAAAAAAAGAAAAGGAAAGGAAAGAAAAAAAAAAAAAAGGAAGAAAGAAATGTTAAAAAAAAAAAAATCATTTTTTTCTTTCGAAAAAAAAAAAAAATAAAATACAGCCTAGAGAAAAAAAAAAAAATTTCTGACAGCTTAACTAAAAAAAAAAAAATTCCTTAACAAAACTAGAAAAAAAAAAAAATTTCAGCTGAGATAGCGAAAAAAAAAAAAAGATCAAGTGCTAGACTAAAAAAAAAAAAAACATTAGTCATTTCCCAAAAAAAAAAAAAAAAATTCAATGAGGAAGGAAAAAAAAAAAAAACTTTCTGTTAAGCCATAAAAAAAAAAAAAAGGTGTCTATGATCAATTAAAAAAAAAAAAAGCTGAGTATCCCTTATCAAAAAAAAAAAAACCAGAAGTGTTTAGGATAAAAAAAAAAAAATTCCAGTTTTGGAATATAAAAAAAAAAAAAATAGGTTGAACATCTCTAAAAAAAAAAAAAGAA